TATATGCTCTCATAGACAGAAAGTCCATTGGTGCACAGCCGGGGATCGAGTCTACGACCACTAAAATAAGAATCGCACGTTGAAGCCACTAAGCCAATCCTGCCCATTTGGATAGGTATATTACATTCATTGAATTTGCACACAAGACTCTAAACTAACGACAGGATTGTGTAAACTGTACGGTGTATACAACTGGCCATATTTCAAATCTGTCAAAATTAAATTACAGACAAGTAGACCATAGATAACCAGCCATTTTTATGTGTTTTCAAAGGTAAATATGAAAATTTTTAGTTCTAGGACCAATTCATTATTCATAAAAACTCACGGAAATAGTTTACCTCATACCAGGTATGGAGCGACTACTTTCTCGTTAACACCCATGTGATAGCCATACCGAGCGTAAGTGTAACATTGTATATTAGGTAACAGATAAGTCTAGCAAAAGACAATTTTTCACAGGCGTGATAACTTTGCCTTTAAAATTGAATGTGTAAACTAAGGAACTGATACTGAAAAACTATGCTTGTTAATTTTAACGTAGCGAAGAGACATATATATATGTCGTCTTTATTTTGTTAAACTGATTACAATATGGGTTAAAAAAGTAGTTAACATTATATGTCTATACATGACAGTGCGCTACAACCATTCTAGTTACCAGTTAGTCGCTTCCGTTCTCATTCTAGCATATCTTATATGGAAAAGAAATATAATTATACCATAGTAATTAAATAGCGATATTAACAATGTATAGATCAAAACTATTATATATTATCCGCCCTTGTAAGATCTAAATGATAATACAATTTTATGACGTTGCCTTATGTAATACCCACATCCCTTGTGAATGTCGTCCTACGTGTGGCAAATATTAACACCATCTATTGGCATGAAATTGGTACTTGCAGTATTACGCTGATTTTTATTAAAAAAAATACTACATAATTACCGCCGGATCCGAGGAGCTGGAGAGTTTTAAACGTTCTGTTTTTTGATTGGTTAAAGTATAGTAAGGGCACACCCTTTAAAACCAAAGTTTATATAAATTATTTACAATACAAATTTTAATGAAAATTTGTAAGTGTTATCATAATGTTACTCACTAAAAAGCGACTATAATTAGTTACATAAATTATAATATCATTAAAAGTATTTCTATGTACAATTCAGCATTATCTGGAAAGCTCGTATCGGATACATTGGCAGGTACATAGACAGAAAGCTAGATTAATATATTGTTAGATAGAAACAATCCCACGCGATTGTATTCTAATACGATTCTGAACGGTGAAACGGCTCAGCCAAAAATGGAAGCTCTTACAGACTTTCGCAGTATAAACGGAAGTTCCATCATGATATTTTCATTTGTGACAATAAACAAATGTAGAATTCGCATATAAACGTTAAGTAAGGAATGATTTTTCAAATTAGATATTCTTTTTATGAGATCTTAGTTTTAAAAGTTTTTCAGCCCTTATAATATATTATGCCATGTATTTTATTTACCTTTAAACTACTTTTAGATCCGGCTAGTCAAACTATTAAATTACTATTAGGTATATTAGGAGTAGGAGAAAAGAAACAAAAATAAAACAGAATCGTAACGGAATGGTACCCACACAGTGGGAAACGAGAGGCAGGCAGGTAAGAAGATGGGAGGACGGTATAAAGAAGGTAGCGGGTCCAATGTGGATTGGAACAACTAGAGAACGCAAATATTAGAAAAAAATAGAGAAAGCATTTGTTGAAGGACAAGCTGTAAATAAATAAATAACCGTTTGCCGATAGATATGGATTAAAAATTATATTACTTTAGGCACTTACTTTATATTTAGCATGTAAGCTAAACAGTATTAAAGGCTTTTTATTTTATTTTTTGTTTTTATAATAGGGAAATTTGTATTATGATGAATTACATCACCAAATATTTAATTTATATAATTTAAATTGCAGCCTCTGTTTATCTTAATTTAAAAACCGCGCGGAAACATTAATGCGATATAATAAAATCTTTTCTCAATGTGTCTATGTAAGGTTATCAGCAACAATGCTGCAAAAACTTGTATCTGCAACTGAAACTGCTTTCCCGTAACAGACACGTTGGTCCGAGCTTAATTATCTACTAATGCCTTACTATTGATTCTCGATATATTTAATTAAATTAGACCTAATATTGCATCGAAGAAAATATAACACTACGTTTAAAAATGGTGCACCGCCTTACAAATTTTCGGCTTTCTTAAGTTGCACGCCTATGCCTCCCATTGTAGTCACAATTCGAACTATAATAACCTACTCTAGTGTCAAGTTATTTGAAAATTTTCCGACTAATAAAATATGTTTTAATCCGTTACAACTAATTGTCTCTTAATCAGATCGAAATCAAAATAGAAAGTGAGGAATGTGAACTTCCGATAGTATAAGACTTAATTAGTTATCAAAATATGAATTTACATTCTCTTTAGATTAATAAACCTAACTTTTTAAGCAATATTTACATACAATAGAATATAGATAATTATATAATTGATTGTTATGAAACATTATTTTCAAGACCACAACACAATGGTCACAGCTATAATTTGCCAGAAATATTTCGAGGGACAAAAATATACAAAAGGTTTCAGTCGTATTTAAATGAAAATATGAATAATTTAATATCAATATATTTCACTTTTTCAGCAAAATTTAATAACAATAGAAAATAGATAAGTATATAATTGATCGTTATGAAATGATATGATCGTTTTTTCAAGGCCACAATACAAAGGTCACAGCTATAATTTTGCCAAAATATTTCGACGGACAAAATAATATATGCAGAAGGTTCAACTCGTAAAATTCTGTACATTCTTTGAATAACAATGAAAAAAACAAACAGACTTTAATTTTGCGTTATAGCAACTCCGATGGTCTTACGTTAATTGGCAAAAATTATTTTTCTGAAAATGACATTTCAGTTCCCTCCTATTAGCTTCGTCCGTGACATTTGAAGAAATAAATAGTCTACGAAAACATATTTCATATGCTTGCTATCAACTACATGATTGTATTATCGCCTAATACACTTATTTACATTTCTTTCTATTATGGAATAATTAAAATGATAAATTACTTCTAACATAATAAATGCTTAACGAAACAAATATGAATTTATAACTTATTGACCTTGCTTCGTCATATATAGCGAATAGTACAAAAGTTACTAAAAATAGTCTCAATTAAAGTTTATTAATTTCTAAACATTAACTATGTACACAAGTCAAGAACTGCTTTAAATTTTGAACAGTGTTAACGGAAGAAATACTTAATAGTATTCTGCTACTGAATCTTTTTAGCGGTTTTCCTAAGACGGTTTTTAAACTTGGAACCAGTCTCGTAAAGTAACTCACGCGATTCTCACTCAAACCAATAGTAACGGTATAGTATCTAAGTTCAGGCAGACAGTGAATGACCGATTGCGAAGGCGATACCTTTTACAAATGCCACAGAAAGTGACAACATGCGAACTGGCCGTTCATAACGAGCCGTTATGACCAACGATAAAGACGTGTTATAATTTTAATGGGACCTGTAATTTATATAGGCATTAAATATTTCTAAAAATATAGGTGTGAAGGCATAAAGCATTTAGCATGCATAATGGCAGCATATTCAATGACTCTTATATTTATTAACATTCAATGCGTAACTTTCAATTTAGTTAAACATGTAACTTCAAATTAAAAATATTATAAATTTAAAAAAAAAGCACTGATTTATTGGTACATACATATGTATTTCTGAATAAAATATTTTTAGCACGCTCACGAGTTCTAAATAAAAAAGTGTCAAATATCTGCTTATCAGCAGCATTCAAATCATTCATTAAATACATGAATATATATACATTTAAACCATAATATACGTATTGAGCGTGGTGGCAATAAATTTTCAAGTTCTCCTAATAACCTCAAAGTACCGTTACCCCACATCTCACTGCTCCTTATCTTCGCCTTGTTAAAACTTAATTGCAACGACCAACAAATCACTACCATTCCGTAAGCACCTTTAGTCACCTACGCGTCTATTTCTAAAAGCTATTTAAATTGGCCCAGGGCGGCTCGTAACGATGCTGATAACCCCCTGTGCATTGTTGATTGCAACTTCCGCGCGAGGACATCGAATTATCTTATTTTAATTGCGGCTTATATAACAATTGGGTTTACAGCTAGTATCATAGACTAAAGAGGAACCCCTTTCTATGAAATACGTTCCTCAACGTAACTTCGTACAATTTCCGTCCGTGATTTTTAAATCCGGACGTTATTTACTTATCAAATTTAGATTAAAATAAAATCAATAAAAATTATCTATTTGTTTCGTTTCTGTTTTAAACTTTTAACATATGAAAAAAAAATTTTTTTTTGAGATTTGTTACAATATCTTATTGCGACGATAATATATATAGAAATACAAAAGCGTGTTCGCCCTAAAAAACCAACAGCTATTAATAACCATTGTATGAATACTGGAATTTCAATTCCATGCATATTTATAGGATGCCGCATACAAACACCACAAATACCGATTAGACTTTGTTCGGCAGTACTTGCCAGCCGCCAGATATAAATACCTATCAAAATCAATTAAAAGCTATTATTTTGGTTTCATACTGGAATGCTAGTATAACAATTTTGCTTTTCCGATTTATCGAATATCTATATGGAAAATGTGTACCATACATTTCCAAACCAACCAAAAATCATAATCCCTTAACGATATCTCCGTAACTTTTAGAAAGTATCAATCTGTTTAACATAATATCACTTAAAATATTAGTGCTTAATATCGGATGTTGGTTAAGTTTGTAAGATAAGAGATATTTCAACAACTCTGTAGAAATCAAGTCGTAAGCTGATTGTATATATCAAACATAATATTACACGTGGAGTGTTTAAATAATAGTGAACCATCTTGTGCTAAATTTTGATAGCACTTTCGATCTCAACAATTGCTCACGGCCGATGGTTAACATGTTTTGTACTAACAAAAAACTCAATAGTAACAACACGCCTATAAAAATGAAAGTAAAAACAATGATTGAAATAATATAAAATATAAATCACAAAAACTCGGTTATAGTGTAACAAATATAATATTTTATGTGTCGCATCAAGTTCTAAAGTTTACAAAGTTAAACTTCGGTAAAATTTTGACTTAAAAGTAGACAGTAAATAACTAATAACAATAATGTGCAGGACACGTGGTTGAGGTATTAGCAAGGGTGTAGACGTGTTATGGTATTTCGCGATAAAGGAACTGCTTATGTAACATTGTAAACGTAAATATTTTGATAGCAATTTAACAACTATCAGTACAACGTAAATGCGTCATTTATTAAGTACTTAGCCTTAGTTGAGCTGACCTACTAGGTTTTTGACGGTCGTTAATGTGCTCGTAAAAAAATAAGGTCATGAGTGAAAATAACAGTACACATATCGGTATCATTTACTACTTATAAAATATTCTAAAAAGTATTGGCAGTACACCAAAATAAAATCAAATTAATATAATATTTTCTTACTTACGTTTAACAATTCATTTAAACATATATACATAATAAAAATTATTACAAAGAAAATTAAAACAAATTTAAAAAGTTTGGTCCCTGTGGCAGTTTATAATAAAAATCTCATTGCATCTCTAGCAAAAATGTTAACATGTTTGAATATTATTTGAATAATTTTATTTCATTTCAGGTCAACTCATGTTGATTCAGAAGAAACTACAATTTTTTTGGATATAGGAGCATATAATTTCAAAAATAAAAATGTAATTTTTATTTATCTTGAAGTTGTGTACTTTTACTTATTGGTTATGGGACCATATTAATTAATAAAATTAACTATATATACTATTTGTTTAGTGTAATACCTAACATTATTTAATATTAAATGAACTATATTATGAGAAATATTTATGATATGACTTAATATTTTTATTTAAATAAGGTATTATGTTTTTAGATTGTTCAATATTACTTTAATATTAACCTAGTGGTAGCAATATATTTGTGTAACTTCTTGTATAAGTTGAAATAATATAAACAACTCAAGCATTGAGTTCATTATAGGTAATTATTAAATTAAATTACTTATGAAACCTTACAATAAGAAAACATATTGTTATTCCTGTGTATAAGTTTCAATTGACTTCTGGGGGTCTCTTTTAGACATCCAAATATAAAATTAAACTGAAATACTGTTACTTAAAAAAAGATACATACCCATCAGTTGTCACCGAGTTCACTGACACAGTATCCGGAAAAATCATCTTTTTGTCATCTTCTCCTGTCCCTTGATTTTCTGGCTCATGCAAGTTCTGTGTGGTGTCAGAAGACTGGTCAGATTCAGATGATGCAATAACATTCGTTTTTTTACTAACATTATGGAGTCCTGATAAATCAACCTTTTGGTCTACGTTTTCAATTTGAAGGGCTTCGGAAACTACCAATAGGAATAGGGCACAACTGTAACATAGAAAAGTTTTTATAAGTCACGTAAATTTAATGGGTAAATGGGGCACTTCTTTAGATCTGGTTCATCTTACCTAGATAGCACCGAAATTGTCAACAACGACGTGTAAATTATGCACAGCCCACCCTTCATCGTAGTATAAGTAAAATATTCTCATTCCAGTTCATTTTGTGTAAGTTTTACATAGAACACATAGCGACTAAAAAATTAATTTAAACCAACACTATTCACAGCACAAACACATTATTGTATCGACTTAAATCACTAATCTTTATGCTTTATCATTCACGGTAACTTAAAACTTGCAAAATGAGTCCGAATTATAAAAATGGTAAAATTGAAGAGATGGACAAAAATCGCGATTCAACATTTTTTTCACGAATGAATTTGACATGACAGCTGTTAGGAAATTCCGAGTTTTTTTGCAATTATCTTTTGTTCAAATTCTTTTATTTGCCAAAGGCGATTGGATAAAAAATAGTATTCTAAACAGTGTTCAAGAATAAACCAATAAGATTCAAACATTTAGTATACAGTTTAAATAATGATTGGTGTATTTATTTCAAAACGTTCCATTACATGTCATAATGGGTTTATAAAAAATACAGATTGAAAATATGATAATTTAAAATATTTTTATGTACATATTTACCAAATAACAAGTATGGTTTTTAATATGTTAGATGAAATTAAATATTTTATACACCAATATTGTCATAAGTATTCAAATTATAACTGAGAAGTGCCCACTGACAATTAACATACAATATACAATTTACAACCGCCTTATTTTACAAGCAGTCGTGTCATAACTGATATATACAAAATTTCAACATTCCGGTCTTTAGAATTCTAGTATTTACATAAAATGGAAGCTCTCTTTACCTTGCCGTTTACTGTGCTTGAAATTCCTAACATAAAGATTAAAAAACCATCATGGCTCCAAGCTCCGTCAGCTATGACAACGTTTTCCTTAGTTCTTCTCTCGTATTTTCTTGTAACGGGAGGTTAGTTCGCAGATTTGTTTTCTTATCAGACATAACTATTTATATTTTAAAACATTTATTGATGTATTTATTTGCAGGAATAATTTATGATGTTATTGTGGAACCACCCAGTGTTGGTTCGACGACGGATGAACATGGGCACAGTAGGCCAGTGGCTTTTATGCCAAATAGAGTTAATGGTCAATATATCATGGAAGGCTTAGCTTCGAGTTTCCTCTTTTCACTTGGTGGACTTGGATTTATTATTCTGGATCGCACTCACAACCCTACAACACCTAAATTAAACAGAATTCTTCTCATATCTGTTGCCTTCCTTTGTATTCTTGTTTCATTCTTTACAACATGGATCTTTATGAGAATGAAGCTACCTGGATACTTACAGAACTAATAATAATATTAAAAATAGACTTGTTTAAGATTGAAGTGTATCAATTTTTATTTTAATAAAAAAATTTATACAGAAGTGTGACTATTAATATTAATGTGATAGAAGTAACAATTATTGACTTGAATTAAACATTGTAAATGGTACTACACTAAATAAAATGTTTTAGATATAAAATAATTGCTTAAATGAAATATTATAAGAATGGAAGCAAAAGTTGTATAATAAATAATAAAATGTTCCAGTAACTATAATAGGAAGACAATAATTATTATGACTCTAGATTTCCCAAATGAAAAGGTCACAGTGTATAATTTGGGTATTTAATTACATTCTAACATATAATTATAACATTACTAATCATATGAGATTCATATATTATTACAACAATTATGTTTATCTTCTTATATTACAGCCGGATCCGGAAGGAACTGAAATTAAATTGTTCATTATTTAATTAAATACTACATCTCTTTTCTTCAAGTCTTCTTTAAGCAATATCTGAAGGTGAGAATATAAGACAAGAGCTGGTTTAGCATGTTGTAATTAGACAGTTGTTTTACAACCTCTTTCTTCTTCGATTCTAGAAGTTTGCAGTGCTTTAGAAAATAATAATACTAATTCAGCTATTACGTTTTGAGGTTAAATTATATGGCTGTATATATGCTGCGAATAATGACAATGGAGATGGTAAAATATTTATGCATACTTACTGGGAGAAATCTGAACTTTTATCTATAATATGCTCAAACTCAGCAAATGAAAGAGCTCCATCATCATCTAAGTCAGCTTCTTGTAGTACATTCTGGATCAATGCCTGTATTTCAGATTCACTGAGTTTCAGTTCTACTCCACACAGCCGTTCCACCACCTCACTGAGATCAGACACACCAATCATGTCATCGCCATCAAAATCTATAAACATATTAGATCCATTATAGTCAACATATTTAATCTATTAAGGACAGATCAATTATGCTTTTAGATCACTAAAAAGAATTTTATCATTTCATGTCAATAAAAAAATATTGTTAAAGTTTTTCTATATTGTTTACATTTCCTTTCAAAAAATATTAAAAAATTTTTTTACTGATGGTTACTAGTCGGAATTTAAACATTTTGGTCCCATTATCAATGAAGGCTATATAACATTTATATACAAACAAAATAACACAGAGAGAACGGCTAAGTACAACTAGAGTTTGAATTTTAAATTTTTAGTACCAGAGTAAAATAGCAATAAACATGTTTACCAAAAATCCTAAATGCATGTTCTGCTTTCACAGATTTAGGTGCATTCTGACTGAATACAGACATCATGTCCAGAAAGTCTTCAAAAGTACAGTCACCATCATTACTTGAGCTGAACACCTTACAAATTCTGTCTCTAAATGGGTTCACCCGTAATTCTGGATACTGTAGAATTTTAGCCATTGGAAGCTTTGCATTCTTGTTATGTCCTACTTTTTCGGGTGCCAGTTCTTTAAACTTTTGATGAGCACTATAATAAAATTATGTATCAATATTTTAAAACGTTAACATTCAAAAGCTAGCTGCTATCAGCTATACTTACTATAAAACCTCGGATTTGGTGAAATATGTAAGATCCTGAAAAATATTCATAATATAAGTATTAACATCATCAATTATAAGCAAAGCAGCTATTAGTACATTTTGTTCTTTAAGCACACCTTATTAAATAGATACCTCATAATCTTGAAGTTCTTCTTCCGTAAATTGGCTTTTTCCTTGACCCATTGCAATCCTCACAATCCAGAAATAATAAGTATTAATATTTTAAATGTAAAACCAAAATCCTAACTGTATTATACAATAAAAAATGATAATTAAACTATTAACTGATGAGTGTACTTTATTGTTAATGAAACCTAATCACAGAAATGAATGTAAATAAACAATATTGAATTTATATCTGACTGTCAAGTGTCATTTGACATAGACTGTGATACTGTACCACAGGTTAAGGTTTTAATGTCTCAACACACAAAGTTTTCGTATCGTTGTCAAATGTCACTAACACAACCCAACAAAAAAACCCCGCCAAAGCCCCCCCCCCCCCCCTACCCACTCCCAAAACACCCCGCCCCCCCCCCCCCCCTCTCTCGGCAAAGCGTGGGGGAAAGGACCCCCCCCCCCCCACCCGGAAAAAACTCCACTTATTTTTTTTTTCTTCTTTTTTATTTTTTTTAAAAAAAAAAAAAAAAACCCAAAACCCCCCCCCCCCCCCCCCAAAACGCGACGGAGGCCGGGGCCCCCCCCAACCCCACCCCCCCCCCCCCGCCCGAAACCACCCACCCCCCCCCCCCCCCCCCCCCCCCCCCCCCCCCCCCCCCCCCCCCCCCCCCCCCCCCCCCCCCCCCCCCCCCCCCCCCCCCCCCCCCCCCCCCCCCCCGGGCCCCCCCCCCCCCCCCCCCCCCCCCCCCCCCCCCCCCCCCCCCCCCCCCCCCCAAACCGCCACCCACCCCCCCCCCCCCTTATCCCCCTCCCCCCCCCCTTATTTTTTTTTCCCCCCCCCCCCTTTTTTTTTTTTTTTTTTTTTTTTTTCTCTTTCCCCCCCCCCCCCCCCCCCTTCCCCCCCCCCCCCCCCCCCCCGGACCCCCAATCCTCCCCCCCCCCCCCTTCCTTTTCCTTCCCCCCCCTCCCCCCCCCCCCCCCTCCCCCCCCCCCCCAATTTTTACCAAATAAAAAAAATTTTTTTAATTTCCCACTTTTTTTTTCTTCCCTTATTTTCCTTTTTTTTCTTCTTCCCCTTTTTTTTTCGGGTATTTTTTTTTTCCTTTTTTTCCCTTTTTCCCCCCCCCACAACCCCCACCCCCCCCCCCCCCCCCCCCCCCCCCCCCCCCCCCCCCCCCCCCCCCCCCCCCCCCCACGGCCCCCCCCCCCGCTTTCCCTCCCCCCCCCCCCCCCCTCTCCCCCCCCCCCCCCCTCCCCCCCTCCCCCCCCCCAACCTTTTTCCCCCCCCCCCCCCCCCCCAAAAAAATATAAAAAAAAAAAATTTTTCTTTTATTTTCCCCCCATATTGCCCCCCCCCCCCCCCCCCCCAAAGCCCCAGCAACCCAAATAACCCTTTTTCGCTCTTTTTTTTTTTTTTTTTTCCCCCTTCTTTTTTTTTTTTTTTTTTCCCTCCCCCCCCCCCCCCCCTCCCCCCCCCCCCCCCCCCCCCCCCCCCCCCCCCCCAACCCCCCACAATCTTTCACCCCCCCCCCCCCCCCCCCCAACCCCCCCATCCCCCCTACCCTTACCCCCCCCCCCCCCCTTTTTCCCCTTTTTTTTTTTTTTTTTTTTTTTTTTTTTTTTTTTTTTTTTTCTCCTTTTCTTTTCCTTTTTCTCCCTTTTTTTTTTTTTTTCTTCCTTTTTTCTTCTCCTTTTTTCCCCTTTTTTTTTTTTTTCCCCTTTTTCCCCTTTTTTTTTCCTTCCTTTTTCCCCCCCCCCCCCCCCCCCCCAATACCCCCCCTCCCCATCAATACCCCCCTTTTCCCTTTTTTCAAAAACCCCCCCCCTCCCTCCCCCCCCCCCCCCCCCCCCCCCCCCCTTCCCCCCCCCCCCCCCTTTCCCCCCCTTCCCCCCCCCCCCCTCCCTTTTGGGGGGGTCCCCTTTTTTCTTTTCTTTTTTTCTTTTTTTTCTTTTTTTTTTCCCCTTTTTTTTTTTTTCCCCCCCCCCCTTCCCCTTCCCCCCCACTCCCCTTCCCCCCCCCCCCCCCCCCCCTTTTTCCCCCCCCCCCCCCCCCCTTTTTCTTTATCCCCCCCCTTTCCCCCCCCCCCCTTTTTTTTTTTTTTTTTTTTTTTTTCCCCTTTTTTTTTTCCCCCCCCCTCTCTTTTTTCCCCCCCCCCCCTCCCCCCCCCCCCCCCCCCCCCCCCTTCCCCCCCCCCCCCCCCCCCTTTCCTTCCCTCCCCCCCCTCTTTTTCCTTTTTTCCCTTTCCCTATAATATAACAACACCCCCCCCCCCCCCCCCCCCCCCCTCCCCTTCCCCCCCCCCCCCCCCCCCCCCCCCCCCCCCCCCCCCCCCCCCCCCCCCCCCCCCCCCCTCCCTTTTTCCTCTTTTTTTTTTTTCTTTTTTTTTTTTTTTTTTTCCCTTTTCCCCCCCCTCTCCCCTTTCCCTCCCTTCCCCCCCCCCCCCCCCCTTTTCCCCCCTTTCCCCCCCCCCCCCCCCCCTTCCCCTCCTCCTCTTTTTCCCCTTTTTTTTTTTTTTTTTTTTTTTTTTTTTTTTTTTTTTTTTTTTTTTTTTTTTTTTTTTTTTTTTTTTTTTTTTTTTTTTTTTTTATTAACACTTAGCAATTATTAAAGGTTGTTTAGGTAAGATAAATGACCTCTACTAACAAAAATCAAAATTAGCGCGGCAACTTATATTTTATACATTATGTAACACTAAAAATTAATTTAAATGTGGTAAGACTTATAACTATCACATCAATCAAGGACTTTAAATATAGAGCCTTTTTTGTAGGGGCCGTAAGGAATCAGTTCACATAAGGCTTGTTGTTTATTTACGCAGGAAGTTGTCCGCCAAGTATGCTGCTTTGTGAGAAGTATGCAATTATGATAACGATTTCTTCTCGGATGTCCCGGAGCCCAGGCGCGGTAGGTAGTACAATCGAGGCTGTTCCCTGATAACAAAACCAAGTAAAATACTACCGTAAATGAATAGGGGTTAAAACGTTAAAAATTTGATTAAAAGTCATTATTACAAATTGTCGGAATAACATAAAATTTGTGAAAAACAGTCTAAATTTATATTTTAATTTTGCAGTCACCATAAGAACATATTTTGTATACCATGGTAATATGTTTCGTTGCTACAAAAAACCTTTCAACGTCTATTTTAGATAAACTTTGTTAAGGACTTGGGCTTCTAAAAGCTAGTTAAGTTTATAAAATCTTACCATTTACCTCAATATAGCTTGTCTCGTGGTTCTTTTTTAAGCCTACAAACGCAGTGGCTACTCCCGCCCCAGTAAGGAACTGCGCAAGAGCATCTGTTCTTTGTTCACTGTTCACATCTGCTAATGTACTACTCATATTCTTGCACTTATCGTCTGCATTTGTATAGTTTAATTTACGAGACAGAAGGTAGAACATACCTATACTTGGTACACAAGTTGCATTAACGTTAGCTAAAACAGATGAGATCCTTATAAATATACACGTCGGTTAGAAAGCACAGCTTGGAGAGTCACGATTGGATACAATAATTCATGATATACAGGGTTATTAGTAATTGAACGTATTCCCGTTGGGAGGTAATAGGGACTATTCAACTCACCTTTCAGGACCCTCTTCCAGAAAAACCCGTTTTCTTTGTAATATATTTTTTTTTAATTTTCTTTGCTAACAAAGCAGTTATGTTTTTAAATAATCTGCAAGCCAAGTTTCGTTTCTATTTTTAAGGCAATAGCGTGGAGCCGTGGAATAAGAATCTCAAACAATATCGTTATTCGTTCCGCATTGTCAAATTTGGACTGTCGTGTAAATATTTAAAATTAATCGATGTTTAATTGTTTTTGAAAATAGTAGATTTAAATTGATACGTTTTTAAATAAGTTTTTGTTGTTGCTTTATTGTAAAATTTTGAAATAAGCTAAAAAAATTGTTAACTTTTACTAAATTCATATGGGGGTTTAAATTATGACAAATAGAGCCTATGACCTCTTTAGGGTATACGTTGAATTACCAATAACCCTGATTATGTGCCTGTGTGATTTTAACTTAATCTCGCTATCAAATAGTCAAAAGCATACTTACGTATGGGCTTAGCATAGATACTGTAATAATCGTATCTTGTGTCATTGTTCAGTGAGAGTCCACCTTCAGCTTCGGAACATTTGAGCACTTCACACGGGTATTCCGGCTCCGAGCGGTTCCAAGTTGGGCTAAAATTTAAGGCCAACGCATTTTTCTCAATGCCAAGTCGTTTACAACTTGTAAGAGAAGAGTACTTAGCTCTTGCGGCGATGCCAAGTGTAGATCTATGGCATGGTTCAATTAAATGATACTTTGGTACACTTGTAGCGGTGGAACATCTTGGATTTGCATTGATTGATGTTATGAGGGATATAAAAAGTATTTTAAACATTAATATCGATTGTCAATGCTAGCACAGATAAAACGTTTAGTATTGTATTAGATATGATTAATTTAGTCTCGTAGATAACGTTTCGCAGTAGGTAGGTACTTAATAATAACAAAGTATTTATATTTTACTCTACATTAAATGAAAAGACTTACTGGACACACAAACAACTGACTGTTATTTAAATGAAGGCCGAGTTTATATTCATGAAAACAAATCTAATTGCTTGTATCGGAAATGTCTATCAAATATGACACTGTAATCCCAGTAATTCGTTTTCTAATTTTACTTTCAATAGACCACCAGTTGCAGTGTAGGGAAAGTTAACTGTCATTGTATTTTGATACGATTCAGAGTTTATGATTTAAGGTGGTAAGAGCTTCATATTGAAACTAGACTTTAGGCTAATCTAGTAAAAAGTGTTTTACAACATTATTATTAAAACTGAATAATTATGTTACAATTCCTACCAGTTTATGCAACAGATCCAAAAAAAAAACATACACAAAACATCCTTACCTATATGTTTATGTTAAAGTTTGGTGTTTAAAAAATACTTAAAAAAACGCTTTTTTTATTGAATTAATCCATATTTTCTATCTGAAGCCTATTATTTAAAGTATCAATCTGATATATTATATTCAAATTGTGTCTTTATCAATGAAGTTC